GCTGCTGGGGCTGCTGGGGCTGCTGTTGCCCCGCCGTCGTGTAACCGTTGTCGTCTTGGCCGTTCTGCGACAACTGTTGGGCGTAGTACGTGCCGTCCTGCGGCCGACTGTTCGTCGCGTCCGGCTGGCGGCTGCCTTGCCGCGAGTTCCGCAATCTGTTCAACGTTTTCCGCTTGCTGTCGAAGATTGCGTCCGGCACAGCCAGCGCCACGTCCGCGATCGTGTGCAGGGCCGCCTGGCCGCCGTCCACCAGCGTGGTGCCGAAATCCAGCGCCATGCCGGTCACACCGTCTTCCACGCCGGACGTGTAACTGTGCACCTTGTCCACCATGCCGTTCATCGAACCGGTCAACTTGCCGATCGACTGCTGCGCAAACGGCAACGGGTTGAACGCTCTCAGCGAATTCAGCGGCAACATGTTCCCGAAGTTGATGGGGAACAGTGGCTTCGGTCCTGCAAATTTCGGTCCACACTTTGAATGGATGCGGCATTTAAACTTCCCTAAAGCACGTTCGAATTACAACAAAGTCGTGCGCGTACGGCTCAACCGGGCGGACGAATAGCGTACGGGGCCGACCGTTGCGGGCGGTACGTGTCGTTGTCGGAGCCACGTTCAACGGGTGGCTAGGGAGGAGGGCAATTTACCCGTGACGGAAAATTTTCGACATGAAATAACAAATATGTAATTACGATTCTTCTTGTACGACCGTACAACTATATTACATATTATTTCCGTTAGATGCATTATTTTCTATTTCGAATTGTAATTTTCTTAAGTGCGGCGTATTTTAATTTGCCCCGGGGTGGCTACATAGGTTAACGCAGCACTTAATTCTCCCGCGAAAATTGTAATCCACGATTTCTGGCCAAACTACGACCGTCAATCAGTAGTGATACTACGGACGTAACGCGATGGATGTTCGTACATGTTAGTGATGGATCGAACCTGGAATTTTTTTTTTTTTTGGTATCCAACCGAACATTATAAAAATATTGGCGAACCCGAACCGAACTTATAATTGTTCGAACGAATCCGAATTGAACCGAACTGTTAACATTTTTTATCGAACGAAAATTCGAACGCGGAATTTATTTATTTTTAGAAAATTATTGAAGTTATGAACATTTTACCCTCATTGTGTAAAATGTATACACCCAAAATTGTATGATAATTATTAATCAACATCATTACTTACATTTTAAATACTATAGAGTAGAGAAAAACTAATTTTAGATATTGTTTGATAAAGAATATTTTCTAGTTCAAATTTTGAACTTACCTAAATGGTAAACAGTTCGGTTCGATTTACTTTCATTCCGAATTCGAATTACGAAGCAAACACTTTCAATATTCAAACAGCTCGACCCATTACTAATGTATTTATAAATATATCCATGCACTGTGTACGTTTTACAGTACTGAATACTTATATATATACTGTATACTTTTACTATTATGGAACGCATTAATTATTATTTATTTTATTATTTATTAGTAAATTTTTTTTTCGCAAATTTGAGAAATCAATATTTTTAAAACAGTTTCTATCAACAGTGATGTAAGAAACGCTATTCACCGGTTGAGCCATACTGCTGAAACATGCATTACATATTTAGTCTTATAACTAAGTTTCGATTGAGTAGTGTGAGATCAGCATAGAAATTGATTTGTTACGAGTTTTGAGTGGGGAAAACGTAACGAAACATATTACACAACCATCAAATTTTTTACAACCTTAAATCCGGCCTAGAAACTTGTATAACTTATATGTGTCATTGAAAAGTGAATTGTAATAACTTAAGTTCGGATGTTTATGCGTTTAAAATGACTACTCGTATAATATCTATGAATTTATGCACTTAAAAATTGGCAAATATGCATTCAAAATATGTACAAGAAAACATAAAATACGCATTTTAGCTGAAAAAAAACCTAAAATATGTACTTAATTTTTAACGAGCGTTACACTGTGAGACAATGATATTTTTAACTTGATCAAACTTGAATCTAAAAATATTCGTGACAAACATAATTATACGGGTCTAGTTAATTTATTATTTATCTACCAGTTAATTTAAATTATTTTTAAAAAATATTGAAAATGTACTGAAATATGCATTTAAAATATAATACCATACAATATACAAAAATATGCAAAATTAAAGTAGTGCTATTTGGTTCAATAGAATACGAATTCAATTAGATCAATAGAAAAAAAAAATGCAATTTCATAAATATCCGAACCCTGGTAATAATCATAACAATTTAGCAGATATCGCTACGGGAAACATCAGATAAATGATTTCCACCCTGTACGAAATCAACTCAACTGATCGCACTCCACCGGGATCCAAGTTATTGATTTAAATGGTTTATTGTACCGGTACGGGAAGGAACATTGGACGGCTGTATTTGATAGCTGTTGATGTACGTTTGCGTCCGATCGTTTTCAGTGTCCGGGTAGTTCATTGACATTTGGGTCTGATAAGGCATCTGATAATATGGCTGTTGCGGTCCACGGAAATTCTGTTGGTCCATCGGTTGATACATCTGGTTGTCAGGGTAATTGGACGAAAACTGCGACTGCTGCGGAACCGACACGATTTGCTGTTGCGGTGGAACCGACTCCATCGGTCGTTGCTGCGGAACCGCTACGACGGTTGGTTGTCGCTGCGGATACGATACAATTGGTTGTGCGGACATTTGATTTGGAAGTTTTTGGGGAAATGATGGTGGATATTGTTGATTTTGTTGCGGATACTTTTTCTGATATTGTTGTTGTACCTGTTCCTGAGGAGTATTCGTCGAATAAGCATTATCGGTAAAACTATCTTCCTGCGGAGGTCTTGATTGTTGATTGTTAAAGTTCACCTCTTGTGGCCGGTTCGAGTTCGACGGTAGATTCGACCCTTGCTGTAAACCAGATGATCCTTGCGTTTGATCAGTCATACCGAAATCTTGTTCCTTCGGTTGATTCATTTTTAAAGGTGGTATAAAATTATCCTCCCTCGGCGGAAAGCCGTTATTTTTAAAAAATGGTGAATCATTATTTTTAACAAATGGTGAATCAGTATTTTGAACAAATGGTGAATCAGTATTTTGAACAAATGGTGAATCAGTATTTTTAATAAATTGTGAATTATTGTCCAACATCTGTGGTAGTCTCATACTCTGTATTTTCGATTGACCGTTATTCGGTTCCTGTAAAGGTCTTATATTTTGCATCGATGGTTGACCATTCTTCTGCGTCGGTTCTTGATTATTATCCTGAATGGGTGATTTAATATTGTCGCCTTGTGGCGTTGTATTTTGTTGTGGTTGTGATAGTGGTGTTGAAATCGGTTGAGCTGATCCGAAACCTTTGTTACTTTCTAGCGGGTTAGATATTTGGTTAATGGATGGTCGTATCCGATTTATGTCAGGCATATTGATTTCATCGGAAATAGAGCCCATAAAACTTGGTCGTGAAAATAATGGAGGGTTATTTGCTTCAATCTAAAATTAGAAACAATGATATTATATTTTTAGTATTTAACGCGTATCTTAATTTTCGAAATATTTCGCCATGTCAAAATCATTATACTAATTCATTAAACACCGTTTTAAAACGGTCATTAAAAACCGTTTTGTACACCTACGATAGTAAAAGTCCACAAAATCCGTTGCAGAGCTGAAAACGTAATGCAACGTAACAGCGGCCCTGTTAGTTTTTCGTTGGAATACTTCAAACTCTGAACATTTATGCGTGTTGAATTAATATTTTCAAAAATATCCCAAGCGACAAACGTACGCGCCTAACTTAAAACGTCAAGGAGCCATAAAAAAAATTAAAAAATCAGTTTTCCCTTGAGTTGTTCGACGCGTGTTACGCGATAAATTATTTACAACCGGATAGGCGCAATATTAGCTAAAAGCGTATTAATGCGATCAAACTTATTTAACGACATTTTCAAATCCGAGTAAGTGTGGAGCAAAATCCAAAACGTGTTAAACTCAAATCGTTAATTTTCTACGGCACTCAATTCAACGTTGTTCTGAACCAATTATTACATTCCTTTTACTAGGATAACGATCGTTAATCATATATCGTCATTGTATTTATATATCCGATAAGAATATTAGAAGCTATACATTTTCCATATTCATCACGCGTAAACTAATAGTAGTTAGTTGACGGTCAATTGCAGCTGTTATGTTAATCATTCACATAATGTTATCATAGGCGTGTAGCCTGTATTTCAAGGGGCACCTACAATACTTTTGGGCCCTATCTTAAAGAAACTAGCAGGCAGGTATATTTAATAATAATAATAATAATAATAAGGATGTTAAAGATTTTGTAAACAAAATGTATGGCATTGACCGTTGTGATTTTGAACATTAAACGCAAGATTTTCGTTTTTGCACTATCCCAGGAATCGCGCCCCGGGCGTAGGAACCTCCCACCACCGTCTTGCTACGGCCCTGCATACAGACCTGATGGACGAGCGTCAGCCAGACGACCGCCGCGGCTAGCCGAGTTCTCGCGGTCGTCATGTTTGTCTCTGGGCACGGGATCGGATGTCTTCTTCGGGTCGCAAACGATCAGTGTGGTAACCGCGTGCTCGGACGGTGATGACCGCGTTCCCAAGCGTCTGCACGTATTTATTACGTCCGTGCATGCGCGTACGACGCACGGCGATTGAGGGGGGTGGGGGAAATAATTGAAATGAAAAACAACTATGTTCAAAGGCCGGCACTTGAAAGTGCGAAAATAAAAAATTAAAAAAAAAAAAAATAAATAAAATTCAATACAAATAAAAAAACGAAAAACGTGTCACGCGATCGCGATCTTTTGTCCGGACGCAGAAACGGAACAGATGTGCTGCGGTTATTAAATTTTTGTTGCCGACCAACTGCTGCTGCGACGCGCATATACCTGACATCGTCATCGTCATCGTGTCGTAGTCCTGGTCCTCGTCCTCGTCGTCGTCGTCATCGTCGTCGGGACCCGCGTGATACCGCCCGCCCGTCATCCGGCCTATCAATATTTGATTAGACTTGCGCGCGAGCTTTTCGTGCATGCGTGTGTGCGATCGCGCGCCTACGTGACCTTAGCGCACCGGTTGGAACGGGGAGGAGGGAAACGAAAAAAAAATTAAAAAAAATTTAAAAAAAATAACCGAAAACAATACGGGCAAACAAACAACTGTTCCGAAACGTAATCGTTCGAATATCAACGATTAAAAATACGCGGCGAAGCGACGATTGGACGATAAAACGTTGTCGCACTCCCCGACGGCAATGTCGCATGACGCCCCGTGGAAAACGTCGTGCAAATCGTTCGCAATACACGTGCGATCGATACGATCGCGGCATACGCGTGTCCAGCGATGGAGTGGACGGTACACGGGGGTACACGGCGTGTGCCCACCTCCTAATTATATAATTTACCCTCAACAAAAATTGTGGTTCGCGGGTACACCTGAACCGCGAACAAGACGTATCAACGTTGCCCGGTAAACAATATTTGTATTGGGTAATATTTATTAAACCGACGCGTAAAAAAAGATAACCGTAATTTGTTTACTTCACTGACTAAGAGAATATCTTAAAAGTCCGTGGCTCACTTGCACCACGACTCGGAACATATCCGAAGTAATTTTCACTAGGTGTTCGTGGACGTAGTGTTGTTCAGCAAAGGAACATACAGGGAAAATCAACTCCTGTCACTACGGCCGTTATGACAATGTGTTGGTAAGTGAAACGATCACCCACCACTGGATAGCACTCAATTATCACTGGGGGGGGGGGGGGGGGACACTAGTGCGACGTAATTTTTATGTTATAATATGCTCTGCCACGGCTATAAATAGTATTATCTTCAATCGTGACTTGTACAGCGACTGTTTGTACACAAAACTATTTTTAAACCATTTGGTAACGATCAAATATTGTACATAATGTGTAAAATATATTATGTTTTCTTACAATCATTCAGGCGTGTACCCGTACACTTTTTTAGGACGTACCATTAAATCTAAGACTTGGGAGTGATAAAATTATTCACCCCGGGGTGAATCGAATACGATCCTGTACGGACTTTCGAACATCTATGTATATGGGTGTAGTGCAGCAATTACGTAATTTTTATAAACCCATCCAACGCGATGTTTGTTTACGTAGTTGTTTTTCATACTCCAACGAATTAGACTAACAAATTTTGTAGCGCACGGCTTACTTCTTGGACAACTCGGAGCTCTAATCGTAGAACACACGATTTTTTTAGACATTGCGTCGTCTTACGACTAGCTTGCTCAGGCCCAATATTTCGGCAACGTGGAAAAAGTGTTTTCTTGTACTCGTCTCTGTTACAAGTTTTCGTTAGAGGTTTTCACGCTAAAGGAACAAATCAATTCTGTGATATTTTGAAATGTTTAACGCGGTGGTAATACCAATAATATTCAATATTGTATTGTGACGCAAAGTTTATAATTTCACGGGTCGTGACAATATTATAATCGTTGTACTCATCAGTCTATAATATATCTCCCATACACGTACAAATTATATTTTTTTGGTCAAAGATAATCTCAGAAATTCCCAATCCAGTCACGGTTTTTTTTTTTTTAACATTTAAGTAAACTACTGGGAAAGTTTTATGTTTAACTTGAATTCTCCAAGTTAATTGAGTAATTATTAAAAAAAAACACGTTCAATGCCGGCGTTATTGCCCCACGCCAACACAAAGATAAACACACAGACGTGTACGCTCGCCCATTGTCTACCCGACCGGCCGGGTATTGTAAATAAGTATTGAGGTCTGCAGGTTAGTATACATCAACCAAAAAATATTGGAATTGGCGAAGCTACTATTTGTACTCGCGTTGAATGTTTTTTTCTAGTTAAAAGTGACGATGAAAACGTGTTATATTTATTTGTTTTGTAAAAAAATTATTATGTAGTTCGGGCGGTCCTAGGTGAATCAAATAGTTTTGTACAGATACTCGATAACATTGTGAAAATAATAGCCCGATAAAACCGTATTGGGATTTCAGTTCCACAAAATAAACATGATACAGGCAGCTCTACTCTATTTGTTCAGCGTAAGATACAAAGTCATCGAAAGTATTTTTGAATTTTCCGGTTTAGAAAATATTAATGCTCTTTCCCTCCGAGTTACGCTACAGCTAAGCGTGTACGTAAGTGCGTACGTGTGTGTATGTTGGTTGGCGTAGTGTCAATCATCGTACGAACGATGATCGAAATTTGACAGGTGGTGTACTGACGAGTTTTTGTACAAATTGCGATTTGTACGTGCAATATATAGCTGAAATAATAAAATTCAATAAATAAACTAGTACATACATATATAATAATAAACGTTTTTTTTTTTTTTTTTTCGTACATATTATTCATCGTTACACAAAAAAACGGCGTTTGCTGTTTTCCGATAATTATTATAATTATATTCTTGTTTTCAATAAAAATGTTTAACATTTCAAAATTTAAAAGGTAATTTGCTTTTTTTCTGTTATTTTTTCCCTACGCAATAATAACCCATCATTAAAAATATTAATTCTTTAGAATTTATGCCGTGCCAGTGGTACGCGTAGAGTATAAATTGCCAACTCGCCCTAGAATTTTAGTCGCTTTTTAGTAATACTGTTGTACTTTATTTTCCTGAAACCTAAAGATACGATTTTGATTTCAGCAATCTTCATGAAAATGATGGGCTATTCGTTTGCTGTCACGTCCGTTGTTTTGGCATTGTTCGCGGCCAATGTGTCGGTGAGTATGTGATGTAATACGTTTGACGAGGTACCTATTTACACGTTAACAATGCGCTATTCCGTAATCACTTCGGTGACAGTAGCGTGATGGTTATGGGTATGTTTACGTGTCCGTCTCATTGATTTGAACAGTGACTTAATGACAAAATGATGAATCGTAAAACTCGTACCGTTGTAGGCAAGAACGATCATGTTTGTCAAATTGTACAGTTTTTTTAATTTTAAAACATTACAAAACACGCTCCTACGCTGAACCGAATAATATTTATATTACACCGCCTAACCTATAAACAGTTGAATAAATCGGAGACACTGTCATAGCATTTTGGCCTTCGTACAAACGCCCCAAGACGAGCCCCACGTGTACTTTTGCTTTGTACCCGGTTATACGATTAATAATAAAACAAACATATTATTTCTCTGAACGCTTTTTTTAATCGACCGACGACCATAACGAACACAATTAACGACTTTCCACAATAAATATGCGAATAATAATAATAATTAAAATATTAATATAATAATTTTTTTTCTTATTCTTTCGTAATTGATTCTCTAATCACATATTTCATTCCATTGTTGTCCTTTTCCAACTCTTTGTTGGTAATGACATACATATCTGATATTCAACTGCAACTGAAATGATAATCTTGTAATAATTATTAAAATTCGTTTCCTGTTAAGAAAAATAATATTTGACAATTAGGTCGCTACTATAAACCAATCAAGAAACGTGGTTCTGTTGTTATTTTTTTTTTTTAAAAACATGACTTCATTAGTAAATAAAAAGTATGATATTAAACGGCGACAAACATCTTGTGCCACTGTGAATGAGTTACACAAAATCTATACAGCTATGAATAACACTTATTATTGACCATTTTTATATAAATAATTCGTATATTTTTTTGTTCTTTAAAAAAAATCATTAAGAAAAAATGTATTAACATGTATAGCGAATAAGACAAAAAAATATACAATAGAAATTTGGATTGTTTTCAAAAATACAAATCACTTGACAAATCACTCGATAACATTTTTAAATAAGTCGACATTACAATTAATTCGCAGAAACCCGTGTAAAATCTAATTTATAATCGTTGCTCCGTGTTAGGGGTAACAATAAGTATTTACACTATCGCCTAAATGTGTAATGGGCGAATCACGATTTTTCGATATTTTTTCTCGTTTTTTTTTTTTTTTTTTTTGATATTACTCTAACTTACAAGAATGGGATTACGCACACGTATACGTAGAACGAGATATTTTTACTACACACTACAGAAATAAACAGAACATTTTAGGGCCACATAAATGCAATGTTTATCCGATTACGGTATGTGCGTATTGCCAGTTCTATATTAGACTTGAATGTACTATTTTTAAAAACACGTGAATTTCATTAAAACCATACGTCACTTAGCAATACGTCTCTATTCTCGGTGATGGTTTTACAATAAACTCCGCGCAAGACAGCGGTAGAAAAAATAAATATAATCTAATACATTAATACGTCGCTATGAGTTGTTGACGTGAAACGTTCGTGGTTCACCGGATCCGTTCACACGAATGCAAAATCGAATTATACTCGTTTTATTTTTCGTCCGTTCTATGCGCCCAAACGTTCTCTCGTTCATCTACCGGAAGAGTTCGGATAACGATCCAATAATGACCCAACGCGTTAGCAATCCGAATCCACGACCAAGGGCGCATCGATCGGGTAATACAATTAGCACGGTGCGTAGGGTTCTGAATTTGAAACACTTAAAAATTGAAAATTTCTCTATTCTTGAAATATGTCAACGAAGTATTGAAAAATATTTTCTTTTCTTTTAAACGTGTTCGGTTATAGACGATTAGTAAATAATATATTGATTATACGTAGAAAATATTATCTGCGTTCATTTCACACCAATTGTTTCTTATACGGACGGGCTATTACTTGTTTCTTGTTAAGGTCGAATTCTCCTGGTGTGTATTCAAAAACCGGTCTAAAAATAATTATCATCAAAACCTAAAGCCCAATAATAATAACGGCTATTTTCAATAATTTCCGCGGTGGTCCCCCCCCCCCCGTTTCCATCGTCGCTTTGTTTTTTTTTATTTTTTTCTAATTCTTTTCTCACCGAGCACACGTGTGCTTGCCGACTTTTAGACGGACGAAGGGACTTGCGACGTGGACTACCGGTTGCACGAGAACTTGTCGTCGGTGCTCAGGAACCCGGTGGGCGTGGGAATGCTGAACGACGTGGCGCGCAACGTGGCCGACATGTGCATGGACCCGGCGGCGCACAACTCGCAGGTGAAGCTGCTGGACGCGTTGATTGACGTGTCCACGGACAAGACGGTGGCGCAAACGCTGGGCAACGTGTTCTTCTGGACCCGGAAGCTGATCAAGGACCCGTACTTCCGGGCCGCGTGGGACGAGACGATGCGCGGCCTGAGCGTGTGCTTCGACCGGCACGCGGACTTGTCCCAGCTGACGGACACGGTTTTCGACAAACTGGACGTGGTGCTCAACCATCCGAAATTTGACGACGTGTTCGAGTCGGTGGTGCAACGCGCGTCCATGTTCACGGACGTGCACAAGAAGATCGCGTACGGCGCGGGCGCGCTGCTGGCCAAACCGATGGGCGGCAAACGGAGCGTCTCGAACGTCCAGCGCCGGAACTCCGCGAGGAGCACGCGCTGACCGCTGACCGGTGGTCGGCACAAGCTCGTTTTCCGCACCGCGCGCACGGGCGAGACGATAGCCATCGACGACGACCGATGACCGTTTCGTTTTTTATTATTATTTTTTTTTTTTTTTTTTTGTACACCCGATACATTCCAATACAAATATACCTGTTCCGCGCGAGCCAAATACACGTTTTATTTTTTAAAAAACCGTTTTCACTCAATCTTTGATCCGCTCCCGTACCCCCGTACTGTTATTATTGTTATTATTGCTAAAAGTTGTAGGTACAGTGTGCCGCTATAATACGGTATTGCGTTTTTCGTACAATCGACCTAGCGACCGGTTTCTTCGTCATCTCGTTTATTGGACGGACAAACGCAATACGCGCGGATACACTACCGGATCGGGTAGTTTTGATTTTTAACTTTACGTCCAGCAGTGGAATGTTGTTTGCTGATATCGTACAAGTTTCCTTCAAGTCTCCTTTCCGAACGTTGTAGTTAAGTAACACGCGTATTGGCGTGCCCAGACAAATTTACCAAATTATGTACTATATTATAACTATTATTATTATTATTATTTGACGTAAAGTTTTGTCGTCATATTAAAAACGAAATAAAATATATATATATTCATTATTATTAACCACTACTTTGATCGAAAACTGTTTTTGTTATTGTTTCGATGTTAATTGTTGAGATTTGTTGTGCTCGACTGCATCACGTTAACACGTATCAAGTACAGTTATAGCGAAGGAAAAACTTTGCAACTCTAAAGAAAAAAAAATAATACGATTTCCAATAATGCTAACAAATTTGCCGTGATATTTTGATATTCAATTTTGTATGTTACGTTGGTTTTTTTTTGGAAATCACTATTCACGATCGCATTATAGGGACAAGAGATAATGGCCTCTAACCGATATTTTCGATAATAAAATTAAAATACAAAACGTGCACGTAACAACTATAACACAATATTCATCTACATTTTTCGATGCAGAAAGTATTTTATTATTGTTTTACAGCAAGTACATGGTTCGTAAGCTATCGTAGGCATCGTTTACGAGAAGTTAAGTTTGAGTCGTGATGAAAACGGATGATGACATTGAAAATCAAACTGAAATCGATGTTGGGCACGTTATAATAATCGTTTCATGACGGTCTTGCGCGCATGTTTATTCTAATCTTCAAAACGAACCGTCGCGTCGGTTGATCGTTACGGAAAGATATTTTAACTGTCGTGTCATTCAGATTATCGTCGCGGCAGACGATCGAATATTTACACGAAAGTTCGTAAAAGTTCGTGGGGGTTGAAATCCTGCGTTACAATATCACGCTGATTTGCATTATTTTTCGGTCGAATAGAGAGGGTCCGTCGGTCGTGTGATGAACGGCTCGTTTACGTGCAACAACACCGTTGCCTACGGTAATATCGTTCAGATATTGAATCGCGACAATAGACCTGTATTGTTGTGTAACACGCGTAAACAGTGCGTCGTTTATTCGGCGTGGCACATGTTGCCCGTGCTTGCCTAAAGTGAACCGTCGACGATTATAACATTACAACTATTGTCGTTGCGTTATTTTACAGGAGTGGCGAACACATGTCAGCGCGATGTAATGTGATTATGTTAATGTTTTTTGACACGTTCAACTACTGCGGTTAATAACAACGTTTCGCGGTCGACAACAAAACCTATATATATATATATTAGGTACGCGATAGTAAAAAAAAAAATAAAAAAAATAATAAAAACCGAAAAGTTTAGTGCACTACCGCGGTAAAATAATAATTGTCGTTCGCAGGCGCATTGGAAATACAATACAAAAACACGATGCAATGGTGTAGCGTTGAATTTCGCGAACAGAAACTTCGCTGTTCCGTACTCGCGTACGGATAATACGTATGGGGTGATTTTTTTTCCTTCCGAACATGCTCGAACGATGCATTTTTTCCCCCTAATTCCGATTTACGGAAAACGTAAACTGTGTACAGCGAAACCATACGTATAGATTCGTTGTACCCCCCGAGAAACGTGCCACGACGAGAGTTTCGGAAAAATCTACTGGACGGTCGTTTGCCGGCAAACGATGTTCTGGTTTGCACGGCAAAAGTTGATATTACCACAAGACGATGATAGGCTGTAAGAGATGTGAATCGGAAAATATAGCTTGTAGGTAACGTGGACATTAGGGTGGTCCTTATTTTTTTTTTTTAAATTTAATTAGGTTAGCCCAAAACTTATTCAAAACTATAAAAAAATAACTTATGTTAAGTTTCATAAAAATTGGTTAATCCTAGAAGGGTCCTCAAAGGGGTTAAAGTTCATAAACTGTGCTTTTTTCAATATTTTCATAATTTTCAATTTCGGCCTAAATTATACGTGATAGGTAAAAAATGCATAGAATAAGATATTTTTTTAATTAAATTTTCTATAAAAAGTGTTACTTATGCTTATTTCGTTAAACGAACCATTCAACTAAAAAATACAAAAACTTGTTTTTACAATATTTTAACTTGTATTATTTAATACAATATAAGAAATAATCGTGAAGTGTTATAATATATAAAAGTATTATAATATATATTTTTAATTCACGTTATATACTACCATTTCATAAATAAATAATATATACAAATATTATAAAATTAAATAGTGAAGTTAATAATTACTTTTTAGGGTATCTTTTTTTTCATCAGGATACCTTTGCCGGTAATCATGAATGGTTTGAATTAAAAATTGTTTCTGGTCTTCGTTTTTGGTAATTAAGTTGTTATAATCACTAATTAATTTTACATTTCATTCTGCCACGACATTGACAACTTTTAAGCTTGTAAATTTTTGAAGTCCTAGTATGAAATGCTGATTTTTATTCCATAATATAAGATCTTCATTTACAAATCAGTTTTAATATTGAACCTATGAAATAATTGAATTGAAGACTTGTTGATAAAATGTTGGTGTAACTCGTCGTCTTCATATAAACTTTCATCTGTATCGCTTGTAGAATATAACTCCACAGTGTCCATATATTCAACTAAAAGTTAAATTGTAATTTTATATAACTTAAAAGTATTATACAATAAATTATAAAAATATAGAATACAAAATACTTACAATTAGATTTTATTTTATTATCATTAGGTTTCTTTTTTTTTTCATATTCTTCTAAATTTTTAGAATGTTTAATTTTTCTTTTTCGACTAATCAAATCAACACTCATTAATGATCTTGGACGACCTTTTTTTCTTGTTAAAAATTGTCTGCCCAAGTCACAATAGTCATTATATCTAATGCGTCTGCATGAGCAATATCGAAAAGCTCATCAAAACATTATACAAATTAATTTTCACTTTTAATTTGAGTATTTGAGTATATTTTTTTAAATTGTTCGCCAACATAATTTTTTCTGCAAATTTTTCCATATGTTGTAAAATTTTTTTAATTGCGGTACACAATTACGAACCTCTCTAGTAGGTATTAGTGCTTTTTGCCAAAATATTAATGCTTTGTCAATCATTAACCTTGTACTTTCGGGTAAATTTAACTTAACTTCTCGAATGTTATAAAATAATACCGATCAAACTTGTTTGTTTGATGGTAACTTACATCCAGTAAGTTGATGTGAAGTAGTTCCAATCAAATAAATAGGTTTACGTAGATTTATTTTACTATCCACATTTTAAATAAAAATTTAAAAATTAAAAACAAATCACAAGGCGGACTTAAGTCGTACGGACTACAGACGTTCACAATTAAATACCATAGACAGCTGTTTACTACTTATAATTTATATCATATTTACCGACAACCTAATCGACAATATTTAATGCGATTATTGTGTATTAAACGAAAAATTAAAATCCAGCATGTTACCTATTGGAAAACTGTGGAATACAGTCATGATTTACATAGGCTATAAAATACTAGCAATCAGTACACTTCATAAGTATAATTTAACAATTATTGTAGTATTATCTCCTACTTAAATGTTACTAGAAACTAGAGAATAGCCCCGGTCCTATAAAAATGGGATCGGACTAGACCAAATATTTAAGATGTTTTGTTTAACCGGACCAGACCAATTCATAAAATATATTTTTCAACCCAAACCAATTTGAACCAAGCTCATAATTTTTTTTAAAAGCCCGGATCAGCCAGTTTGGATTTTATATTAAAAAAGAAAAAAACAACCCGGACCAAGACCGTTTTTATTTGATAATGAAAATCCGGACCAGGACCGTTTTTATTATTTAATATAAACCCGAACCATGACAAATATGGTGATTTAGAAACTAAACAGGACTGTCTACATAAAAAAAAATAATCAGAAACAAAATAAAAAAGTGTCGTTCCATTGACAAATCATCAAATTAAGTATTAATCAGAATTATATATTTTAATATTTATTATACATTTTTTTTCTTGGTTGAACGGTGTTGCCTGGTGGTAGTGATGGGTAAAATTATCTTGGTCTTGGTCTTACAGCAAGACCAAGACCAAGACTGAGACTGCAAGACCAAGAACAAACAAGACCTACACTGCAAGAGTCTTGCAGTCTTGCAATATTTATTTTAGTTCTTTTTTTTAAAAAAAATACCAAAAAATACGTCTTTTAGTGTAGTTTTTTAGGAATATAATAAAAATGTAATATTGCATTTAACGTATAAAACGTTGCAGGAATTGAGAAAATAATAAATTATTGAATTATTGAAAACAATATCACAAAAAGATTTTAAAAAAATGGTAAAAAAAAAAAATAAGAATAGATAATGTAAGAGAAATATTCTTTTATTTGCATGAAAAAGAAGTGAATTGGCAGTAATTTGTTTCCAAAAATTAAAATGAATATTGTATTAGATATAGGTACTCCAAATAAATCAACAAAATGACTACTTTGGCAAAATGTTTATTAAACTCATCAGCAATTAAGGATTTTTAGTAATTGTACAATTTTCATAAGTGACAATTTCACTGAAACGTTTTTTTTTTTTTAATAAATTGAATGGACAATAATTTTCCATATTTTTTTAGTTATTTCCTAAATAATTGGCCAAATAACTATTACTTGAAATAACTACTAGGTATATAAATATACTATATAAATAATTACTAAATTCTTATGCTTACTATGTTCGTGGAATGTATGAATCAAATATCGATGCGGCGATGCTTCTCCGATGAACGAACAAAATAAAATAAAAC